GGACATTTTGAGGGTCAATATTCGAGGAGCGCAAACTAAGCGTCCTTCCTCTTATTTTATTTGTCTATTTACCTATCGGTATACAGTAATTTCTAATACAATTTTTTTTTTTTTTTTTTTTTCGGGGGGGGCCCAGCAACCAACCGGTAGGTACCGCCTTACTGTCCCTCTTTCTTTCCCTTTTTTTTTTTTTTTTTTTTTTTTTTTTCAGAAGCCCATGCCTCTCGAGATTTCAGCCTTTGCGGTAGAGACCGTCCTTAGATATAACATAACAGCCTTGGAATCCCAGCCCCCTATTGCCCGGATTTGTGTGAGACTTATGCCCGCGGCCATTGCTGCCGTGGCCCCTCCTATTCTCAACGAATGAGCCGTAAACCTACCATTTAGGCCCACATGTTCAGCGAACCGTTTTACTATCGAGCCCACAGCCGAGACGGAGACCTTCTTGCCCTGTCTTGATACAAACAATGGTGATTCCCCATCCTTTTCTGGACGAATTTTTAGGTATTGTTCTAATAAGTAGGCCAGGCAGTACCTCGATCCTGTATTTTCGACCGGAATGAACCTGCCATTCCTAAATTGGTCCATTTTCGACTTGCAGATCCGGACCCACAAAATCCCTTTGTCGTCACATTTTATATCCTTCAGTTTTAGATCTTCTATTTCACCTGGTCTCCGCATTGTTCTTAATCTCAGGGCTACTAAGCCTATATCTCTCTTATACATTAAATTATCCGCCCAGGATGGTGGTACATCTACGTAGTGCCTCAAGGCTTCGATAGGCAATGGGTCACGTGGCCAGTCCGGTGTCTTATTCTTTGAGGTCTCTTTTTTTATTGCCATTAGTACCTGTATTACAGCCAGATTTTTCCTAAAGTCCATCTTTTCCTTCAAAGCGAAGGCTATTTATGACTACTTGTATGATCCGGGGGTTTGTGGTGCCAGGCCCATCACGTCCAGCCACATAATAAATGCCAAGATACCCTCCTCATGCGGGTTCTTCACGTCTAGGTCGAACCTTTTACAAAATTTCTTGTAGAGGCCCCAGTACCTATCAGACCTAGCTTTGTAGAAGGGGACACCGAGTCTCTTGCTAGCTTCTTTGCCATCTGTGACAATTCCTTTATGGACGGATATGCACAGCTAAAAACTCCCACCCCAGGTTTCTCCAAGGTTCTACGAATCTGGACGGGCCGGGCGCAAATGCGGTTTTTGTATCTGGAAGAACCAACGTCTCCCAATTCAGTTCTAGAAGTAGTGGCCACCACTTAGCTGATGTTCACTTCGGGATCACTACCGTGGTTCTTGCCCTGAAACTCTTCACGTGGTGGAGGATCTTCTGTAACAGGTGTAATGGGGGGCACACATAGTTCACTTCGTTTTCCCACCTTTGGGTAAAGCAATTTATCGCTTCCGACCCTGGGCAGAAGTGGTAGCTGTTGAACCTCTCCAATTTCGTATTTAAATGTGAGGCCATCCGGTCTATCGAATGTGGTCCGAAGGTAGTCTCTATTTGTTGAAAAACCTACTCCATGATGTACCAATCCGAAGAGTCAAAGACCCGGGTCCAAAAATCTGCCGGGTTTTCTGCCGAAGGTACCCACTTCATCTCGTGGATCCAAATGTCCTTCTCAGGCAGATTTGCCACAGGTCCCTGTAGGCTTCCTTTTGTTACCAGTGTCTTCCACCCAATCTCATGGTTGCTAGAGCTGTGCGGCTGTCTATAAATATTATAACCCAAGACCCCTTCAAAAAGTCCACGAAGCTTTGAAGCCCAAGTAACATGGACTTCACTTCCAGCTTTGCGATTTCCCGAAAACTTAATATCTCCGTCCAGTTTCTGAATGCTGTTCTTTCTTCCAATTTTGTGCACCAACCAGTTGTCAAGGTATCTTGAGGGGTGGGCCACCCAAATGTCATTGACATGGAAGCCCGAAGCTATCCCCTTTGATCTCCAATGGGCTACTAACGCCCGTATGATCTTTGAGAAAATCTAGACAGCTTGGGAGAGACCAAACGGCAAAACTCGGTACTGAAACCAAGTGTTCTCTACACGGAACCCCAAAAAACGGCGAGCTTCTTCATTCATCAGGACATGGTGGTACCCATCTCTTAGGTCCATGGTAATCATGAACCAATCCTTCCCTATCGACCTCAATAGGCCCCCCAGACCTTCGAACCGGAATGATTTTTCTGGTAGCCGCTGTTCAGTCTTCTCAGGTCTATTACCAGCCGGTAACGCTTCAGTCCCGATTTTGGTACCAGAAAAATTGGTGATACTTCCAACAAGGAACCCGGGCAGAGCGATGTTGCAGCTACTTTTTCTATAGCTCCTAGCGTTTCTAATCGATATACCTCCTTCTTTAACCACAGCTTTTGTTCCAAGTTAATTTGCAGGGTTTCGGGTCCTTTTTTTTGACCAGGGTCCACACGTTTTTTGGGAATAGGGGTACAAGATTTTTTAACCAGCAAGTTACTACGGGTGGTGGGTTTATCTCCTTTATCCAATAACTCACGGCCTCTGGCTCGTGGATTTTCCCAACCACCTCCCTGCTTTTGTCCATATTGTTCATTATTTCCTTCAGTTTGTTCCCTTTTTTCCCCCAAGTGTGGTCACCCTCTTCCACTATTACTCTTGTTCTGAAAAAACCCTCCTCCTAGTAAGTTACTATCTGCTGACTTCGAGGGATATACGGATGCCGTGTGACTAGCGCCACCACAGAAATAGCAGGTAATCTGCTTCGTTATCGGCTTGTTGAAGGGGTTTTGGTAGGCTGGGCCTGGGTTTTGAATCATATTTGGGTTTTGGTACCCTTGGACTGCAGGTGGGTACTGAGCATAAGGCTACAGTGGTGGGTAAGGTGCGTAGTGGTTTCTTTCTGGACCGGGAGCCCAAAATTCGGTCCTTTTACTTTTCCAAGATCTCCTGCTATAAGACGTGGGGCGTCCTTCATATGGTTTGACCTGTTTTCTGGCTTCGACTAGCAATTCCTTAAATTCATCACCTTCACTAGGCGTTGGTTTAGGGATTTTTGCTACCACGTTCCAGCCTTCTTCTTCCACAACCCTTAGGACAAATGCTCTTAGTCTTAATAGTTCATGTACCTCCACCGCTTTTTCCTTTGAATTTTCCTAGATTGCTTTTTGCAAAAGCGTTCTGGCGTCTCGAATTACATCGTATTCATGCTGGTCCCGTGACTTTTTGAATTTCTTTGTGGGAAAGCTTGATTCAGTAGTACCGGTACAACCAGCCTTTTGTTGTGCCGACTACTGTTGCAAGCTGCTGTTCAGTATTTTTGGCAACGAACTTCCTAACTTTTCATCGATTTTTTGTTCCAGCCTATTTTCCATATATGACAAAAAGGTGTAATTTTGTCCATCAGAATCTTCTGGAAGCAGGGGCCTTTCGCTATAATCATCGTTCGATTTTGGGTCCACTGCTTTTCCTTTGTCTAACTTTTTTGTACCTGAGTCCCTTTCAGGTCTATTCCAAAAGTCCTCCAGGCGAGCTATTAGCTCGGCTTTAGTGCCTTCCGTGGAGATATTACAGTTTTGGCACATGGCCCTCAAGTCGGTTAATCGTAAACGGTTCCAATCCACCATTTGGTTACTTTCTGTTTGAGTCATTCCATCATTACTAATATCTATTGGTGGTGTCTGGATTTCCTCTAAAAGGCTCATTTTACTTATTTATTTATTTTTTCTTTTCTTATAACAAGGTAAAAACTGGCTTGTTCTTCGACGGGTGCTGGACACAATGTCGAGCAGTGAAAATCAAGAACAAAGAAAAAAAGATCATCTAGTTACTCAGATATTAAATCCCGTCATGGACAAGTCCAGTGATCTATTGTCACGTGGAGAGTCCAGTGACTCACAATAATGTACCGCCTTGTGACTTCGTTTACAAGCGGGTCAAACAATAATTCCGGTTATTTCCAATTTTATAAAATTCATAAAAAAATATAAATACTTTCAACTCGTGTTCTTGTTTTCTCAAAAAAAAAAAAAAGTTATCAAACAAGCGAAAATCTAAAATACCTGTACCTTCCTCACCATATACTTCTGAAAGACAAGAATCACCGGGCTCCTCCTCATCAGCTTATATTTCTGACCAAAATACACCAAATGAAATACGTGTGGGAGGACGAGGTTTATCTCCTGTATGGAAATATTTTCAGCATCAAAAAACTAAATCAAATGGACATTATTCAGCAAAGTGTGATTATTGCTCAACTAAATGGTCAAGAGGTAAACCAGTAAAGCTTGAAGTTCATCTTGCGTTTGAGTGCTCTTATGTTAAAGAGCATGTTCGGCAATTTTATCTACTTCGTGTAGCCTGTCGTGATAACTTGGAATAGCAATCTAAACATTCAAAACGACAAAAATTAAATAATCAGCATGGTCTTACAAAATTTTTTCCACAAAAAACTGGAGGTGGTTTGTCTGAAGAACGAATTAATGCCATAAATGTTGCATTATTAAAAGCTTTTGTGGTGTGCGGTATTTCATTTTCTGTAATTGAAAACCCATTTTTTATCGACTTGCTTCAAACTTTGTGCCCGGAATATCAACCACCATCAAGAGAAGTTTTAGCAGGACGATTATTGGACCAGGAGTACTCTAAAGTTGTAATTAAACGTGAGGCTATTTTTCGTGAATCAAATAATCTAACTATTGGTATGCTGTATTTAATTGTTAAATTATATTTTATTGCTTTTACTAAATTACTC